CTTTCCTCATACGAGAGATGCTCCAGTCCCCTCATCATGTCTGTACCCCTCTGCTGGACTCTGTCCAGTAGTTCCCTGTCTTTCTTGAACTGGGGAGCCCAGAACTGGACACAATATTCCAGAAGTGGCCTCAGCAGGGCAGAGTAGAGGGAGGGGGATAACCTCCCTTGACCTTGTGGCCATGTTTTTCTTGATGCACCCCAGGATACCACTCTCCTTGGCCACAAGGGCACACTGCTGGCTCATGGAGAGCTTGTTGTCTACCACAACTCCCAGGTCCTTCCCCACAGTGCTGCTTCCCAGCAGGTCAACCCCTAACCTGTGCTGGTTACCTGGAGTTATTCCTGCCTAGGTGCAGGACCCTACACTTGCCCTTGTTGAATTTCATATGGTTCCTCTTCACCCAGCTCTCCAGCCTGTCCAGATCTGACTGAATGGCAGCACAACCTTCTGGTGTATCAGCCACTCCTCCCAGTTTTCTATCAGCAGCAAATTTGCTGAGGGTACACTCTGTCCCCTCATCCAGGTCATTGATGAACACCTCCATTATACAGTTTCTCTTGTAGTATTGAAAGTAATATATCTGAACCATAAATGAGTTTTCTAACACCTGTTTAAAATATATAATGCTTATTTGTGTGCATCTGTCTCATGAGCCTTTCTACATCCTTTTGAATAGCTAATTACCTGTAAGATGCACGCACGCGTTTCCCATGTTGAGCTCTCCAACATGTCCTGAGAGTTTTGGGAAGTGCAGGAGCAGGTGCGGGTCTGTGTGCGAACGGTACGGCTGGAAATCAATAGACCATTTGTAGCAATGAAGGGCATCCTGTGACTTGCCCATTTTGCACTGTCACATGCCAAAACCAATTACATCGAATGCCCTGACAAGCCGCGGACCTTGCAAGGAGTCTCATGTTTTATTTATGATGGATGATGGTGAGCATCTGTGACACTTTTTATGCTGTGCTGGCATTAGGCTGCCGCAATACACCGAGCGCCACCTTTTCTTGGAGATGGATGTTGAGGAAGAGATGAGCAATGACAAATGTCACAGCTGTCACAAACAACGTGGTCATAGTCCCCTTCAATGACTTATCTGAGTCTTGAAAAAGAAAAGGAGACGGGCAAATTCTGCAAATGTAATTAAGTTCAGAGTTACCGAAGGTCTGTGTTGTATTTATAGCTTAACTTACGGTGAATGTAAGTTGTGGTGGAAAATTACCAGAGTAACTTTAATGAACATAAATCTGTACTGGGACTAAAATACCTGGATTACAAAAGAATAATTTCCATTCAGACTGTTCTTTGGTACTCTAATCCCTGTATGTATTCTCATCACTTTAAAGCTGTTTCTCATGTAAACTGAGATGCCGGCTTTTCTTAGCGCTAAACCTTGAATTCAGTTTCTGCTGTTGCACAACCGGTTTGTGTCCCTAGTTGCTTCTCCACATCAGATACACTCAAACTCCTCTGAAGAACTAAGGGGAAGAGCTTAAATTGTGATTAAAATTTAATATATTCTAGGAATGTTTTCTTAAACTCATTAAGAAAATAGGAAAACTTGTTGTTTGTGCTTACCTGAAGATTTCCTTTCTGTGGATGGGTACAAAGGTCCCTCGTCCTTCCAGCAGGTCAGCAGCAGGAGGGCAATGCCCTAACACGTGCAGCTCTTCCAGCAGTGACAGATTTACAGTTCCAGATAACTGAATTATTTGTAAATGCAAAAGTTATGTTAAGCCTATTGGGAGGAGTAAATAGCCTCTCTCCTCTCTGGCCTCACCCCCCACAATTTTGCCTTTTACATTGAAACAAGATGCCCATGTCTTTGGATGCCGATTTGCTCTGTCCTGGTCAAGGTTTCCCCCAGACTGAACTACTTTCATGAACCATTATTTGGATAAAGGAGATACTCAGGAAAATGGGTGCTCAAAGGTACACAGTCCAGCACGACGAAATCTTCATGGCAGTTTACTCAGCAGTGGGATGCAGAATCAGGGAGGGGGTGGATTTTTTGTTTTTATCTTTCTCTGTTTTCTTCTTCCTTCTTCTGTTTTCTTTTTTTTTTTTAATTTAATATAGTCTTCCAAAATATCTTATGCCCTTTGTTTCCCTCTCAGAATTAGGGTATGGAGAGACATTTTGCCAGAGAGATTGTTTTTCTCCGAGGCTCTTCTGTGAGGAGTGGGTCCCTTTGTGGATAGTTAATGGCTGGTGAGCTCAGCTGGAGGTTTTGATCTCAGAGTGACTAAAGCTGTTTGCTCCCGTGTTGAAGGAGACCAGTGCAAATTGATGGTTCAGATCCAAAGGGGCTGGCTGGGACTCTCACAGGTAACTCTGAGAAAAATGAGCTACTCGACTCACCCTGGCACCATGCACTTTTCTTCTGTCAGGCAGCTCCAGTTCACCCTGAACCTGCATCCGCTCCTTAGCATCGCCAGGGAACGGGATGGTGGCCATTTTATTGCTCTTCTTGAAGGTTCAGAATAAGCTTGGCGTGCCGGAAGGCTTCCTACTGCACCAGTGGAAGGCTTTTAGGTTGAGAGAGGCCATATCGTCTACCCACAAGACAGCCTCTCAGACTTGACCTTCACTATCAGAGTGATGAGCTGACAGTGGTCACAGTGGGCAAGCTGGATACGCACTGAGAAGCCCTCACACCAAAGAGGGGCTGAGGGAGACGCCGGTGTGCTGTCCTTTGGTTGCAGGTAAAACCGGGCTGCCAGGGGCTGCTTCAAAGCAGCACGGACAAAACAAGTGAGTTTATCTTCAGTGCTGACCCTGAAGGTTGCGCGCAGGAGGGGCGTGCACGCACAGGGCGGGCAGCAGGGAAAGGCTAAAAGAAATGATAGGGCTGGTAGAAGCCATTTGCCCTGCTTTTGTTTACCACTCCAAACACGGATTATTGTCCCACGCTAACTTGCAGTCACTGCGGAGAGGTGACGGAGGGGCAGAGCCACCGGCAGCAGGAGGTGGGAAGGCTGATCTGCCCCGCAGGGTAGGACGACAGCCTGTTGCAGCCTTAGTCCTACGCACGTGCCAGAAAAACTCTGAGCATTTTTTTCTGAAGACTGAACTACCTTGCAACAAATGAGGCCTTTACCACACACACAAGGAAAAAAGATGCTCACAGAGGACTGTTGCTGTTGCATGGTGCTGGCAGGCAAACATTCAAAAATGAATGGGGCAGAGTAGGAAGCCCTGACATTAAAATTCCTATTGCACATGTATATAAGGACAGAGTTAAGATTTATACATTCTTACCTGCGGCCTTTTCTAATCTTTTGAATGTATAACTTCAAGGTGCTGCTTTTTGTTGTTTGTAGAAGTTAGTGCGTCATCACGTAACTAAGCCTGCATTCAAAATGTGCAAGATGTGGAGGTAGCGCAGAACAAGCGTGCAGGCAGAAATGGCTAACAAGTGGTTAGCTGTGGCTTTAGCTGCGTGCCAGACGCCCCTGTGACAGACCTTCCAGCCGGTCACAGCATACCAGTGGAGGTCTGGGTTTGGGCAAAGAGCTAGAAATCAAAGTCTCGGTTTCATGACTCTGTCACTAGTGTGACTCACGGCAAGTTTTTCCAAACCCTTCACTCGTGTCTCCTCATAAGCATAGTAACACTATGAAGCTTGTTGATGCTCAGAGTTTTAAAAAGATGGTTAAGGTATTGTATAAATAACAACTACTTATTGTAAAGGCTCATCTAATCACTTCTAATCAGAACCATAACATTTTCTTGTTTGGCTTATATTACCGCAAGCGTCATCCTTTGAGATCTATGTGCATATATATGTAGTATACAATAAATAAGCTCCACTATGGTTCAAAAGAGCCTCATCTGGGCAATGACTCCGAGCCAGGCAAAACTGAAAAGAGTGAGCACAGCCAGAATCAAAATAGCCTCTTCCCTCCTCTCAAGCCGACAAATCTTAAGTACTTCAAGAGCAGCCTTTTTTTCTTGCTCCCTCATCTAGGAAGACCAGTGATCTATTTCATCTGCCTCAAACAAAGGACTCTGGAAAGATGTTCTTAAATTTATTTTCTCAACCCTGGGGGCATACAATTACTGCTGTTCACTCATGCTTTGCATGTTTAGATATTGGAAGGACGCATGTACTTTCTGTCACTGTTAGAGCATTTCCACAGCAAACTCCAGGGCAGCCAGCGTGTTCCCAACTTGGGCTGTGCCCACAACTGGCTGTGGAGTTGGCGAGCCAAAACCTCATTTAGGTGGTTACAGAAGCAGGCAGTACCTTTACCAAGCTGACAGCCGACCAACGTGCTGCCCCTCGGGTTCTGATCTGTGCTCAGTGAGGTGGGGGAAACGCAGCAGGGAACGGGAGGAGGACCCAGCCGCTGCCTTCAAAATTGCGGCTAAGT